TGGCCGCATCCGTCATGAGCAAAGCAGGCGGCATGTGGATGGGAGGAGGCGTTTCCCCCGCCTCCGCAGGCAGAAACTCGCCCACGAAGCCCACATGACTCATGTATTCCTTGCTATTTTTGGATGAGCCGAAACAGAGAGTGTCTCCCCTTCCTTCTCCCCGTGCCACCTACGCTGGGGACAAGGAGGGTCCTTCCAGTGGGGTTTCCTGCTACCGAGAGGTGGCATCAGTGGGTGTCAGGGTCTCACTTTCCACCTGTGGGGCTTTCCGGGCATGTATCACCTCCCGAGCGAGCAGGGTGACTAGCTGCTCAGCCCCTTCACACCTTCCCCCGGTAAATCACACCTCTGAGAGGCGGCTGAGAAACCCCTCGGCTTTCTGCTCCGCAGCAGGAAACGTCACTGAGCCAGCGCCGCAGCCCCAGCCCCAGCGAAACCCCAACCTCCCTGGAAAATCCCCCTCCTCGACCTCATCCCTCGGGCACCTGGGGCTCGGAATGCCAAGACTGCAGTGGTTTAGCAGAGGGAACGTGTCTCGGCAGAGCAGCTCATCCTTTCTACACCGCTGCAGACACCTCTGCCCCCTCCCCGAGCCGATGGGAACCGGCCGGGATGGGGCTGACTTCAGCCAGGGTGATGCTGGCAGCGGATCCGTTTTGCGGGGGGCAGAATGAAGTGACCGCATCACATCGCTGGGATGGAGGGCGGAGCAGAGCAGGCGTGAAATTGGTGGTTGGAAAAAGGGCATGGAGCTGACTGCATTGCTTTCATACCTTAAAAATACGGCCCGCATCCATATGTGGACAGACGCTGCTCGGCTCCCCGCCGATCACACTCGTCCCTTGGGAAGGACGGTGTTTTTCATGTGGTTTCCAACAAGCTCTTTTCCTTTCTGCAGTGATTTCATCCCGGGGTCTTCCCCGCTCTCCGCATGAACGAATCCATTCATTGCAAGCTTTCAGCTCCTGCCCACGAGCAGGTGGTTGGGAAAATTTCAGTAGTAAAACTCCTGCCCAGAAACCCCCTGTGATTCAGTTCAGGGCTGGAGGGGAGGGGGAAAAACTCATTTTCATAATATTAAGCTGAAAAAGAGAAAACTTTCAGCTGCAGACAGACCGTAGCCGTGATCAACAGTTCTTCTTGCTGGAGGGTTTCCCCCGGGAGCAGAGAGAAGGGGACGACCCGGCGCACGTTGGGCAGCACCCCTGAGGCACTCAGGGCTGAGCGCGTGATGCTCGAGGAGCTGCCGGCGGCACCCAGAGCATCTCATCGGGAGGACGGACCCAGCCAGGACAAGCTTTAATCTGAAACAGGGGCGAGTCTAGCTTGTTTTTATTGTCCCGCTCCATTAAACTGAATCTCCTCTTACTAATTTATTGCGTGCAGTCCCAGACCTAAAAATTGCCGGGCTGATGCCTGGTTTTTGGGGTCTCCATTGAGCTGGGATGGGGTATCTCAGCCCGATGGGACGCGTCCTTTGGCCGTGATCACCCCTCCGGGATCTGGGGGTGGAAATTCATGGCTGGGGGGGGAAAGCTTTCACGTGGGGGGCGCGGGGGGGGGACAGGGGGG